TTATTCTTGCATTTTGAAGATTTATGTTAAAGGACTCATGTTTGGTAATGCGTCAGGTTATAAGAACGCGGGACGTTACACTGGTCATATTTGATGAATATTCCATGGCTATCAACTTTTCTAAAGTGTCAGTAGACCTATGAGACAATTTCTAGATTTTATCTCTTGACATTATTGCCGCGCATATCTTACTAAAATAGAGAACAATGGGCTCCCTCAGTTTGAAGCTATTTCTGGTCGGACCCCCACCACGGCAAAAAAAAGGAAAGCCCTAGACATCTTGACTAGCCACTAAAAATGAGAGAAATACATGTTGCGACGTAAGATTTACTTAAAAGAAGGCATTGCTAGGACATTAAATTGTAGAAAAATGAAGAATGTCCTTGGAAATTTCAAACGACTTTATCGGGGAAAGTTGCAGAGTATTGGTATGGTTTTTGAATTTTCCAAGTGAAATCTTCATAAGATTCTAGAAGCAACCTTTTATAAGTGTAGACATTTAGCCACGGTCGTTGGTTCAAGTTAGATGTCTAATGATCCAGGACATGAAGAATAAGATCCAAAGGGTTTTGCCTTGGTTAATTTCCCCGGCCAATAAGCATTGATAAGAGACATTGACCGCAGCATGCTTCAAACGCAAATGACACTCGTTGGCTCGAACCTCAAACAACCAAATGTCTTCATTAGCCATCATGACCTAGGAGATGCATTTCTTGGAAACAAGCTATGCCTCATTTGGTTTTCTTGGAAATGCAACAAAGTTTTTAAATCATTAGCATATGATCTATAAAATCTCTCATCACATCAGTGGCTCATATTGATTGATCCAACGTTTGAAATACTGAAGACTTCGCCTATGCAACCTTAGCTTTTACCAAAGCTTCTACCTTTCAGAGCCTCGTTTTCATGCAAGGATTTCGCCTCTACATCCTCATCTTTTATCAAAGCTTCTACCTTTTAGAGCCTTGTCCTCATGCAACGACTTTGCTAATGCAACCTCAGCTTTTGTCAAAGCTTCTACCTTTCGGAGCCTAGTCTCGATGCAAGGACCTCGCCTCTATATAATTTGCATAGCTGCCACAACATACCTTAATTCGCTCCTACATAGAAAGCCCATGTATAACATAAATACCTAGCCATGGACTTGGGGGGGGGGGGACTATCGTGCTGTGTTCAAAACGTACAACCAACCAAAAAAAGGTCAAATACTCCAACCTAACACATTATTTCAACAAAGAATAATTTACCAACACAAAATCCATACATTATATAAATTTACATACATGGACTTAGGGAACTATTGTTATACCACCTAGCTCCAACTCTAGTCATCACCAACGTAGCAGCCAACGAAGCAAATCAACAGAGCCCACTTTTCCTCCACGTCACCCTACTTTAGTCAAAGAGACACTTTGACTTATCCAAGGCTCCATGTTGAATCTCTTCTAGTTAAGTTCAATTTGGAGCCTCGGAGGTGAAGTGTCGCAACTTCTAGCCAAGGTCATTTTGGAGGCTCGAAGGTGAAATCGTCACATCTATCGCTCCGAAGCGACTCAAAATCTTTTCTAAACGAATCTTAATGGTTGATTGAGTTGACATTAATGTCAAGCCATCGACCAACATTTTAGAGCATTAAATGCCTATCAACCTATGATTGATGAATTATACCTAGGACGAGACATAGTATGTCCCTACCTTTAGATGGAGTCAAGTGTCTTCTCATCCGACGGTCAGCACTCCGTTTACACTTCTATATAAAGTCACATACTTAGCCATTATACCAAAAATGTAAACTTAGCTCTACTATTTATAAACACTTTCCTCTTTATATCATCGTTAGCAGATTGGCGCATTCTGTGGAAATTGGTACGTTTACCACGTTATCGTCACATTCAAAAAGCAACCGAAAAAGGGAAATTTTTTCTGGGTACTTTGAAGAAGCCAGCCACATTAAAGGAAGAAAAATTCTACTAAAAAGATGGGATTGTAAAATTTCTTTGGAAGCACAAAGAAAATTTTAAAACAAAAGCAGATAGGATTTTTCCCTGAGAAGAAAGAAACTGGTCAAGAAATTTAGAAAATAAAAGAGAATTTCTCTACCACTTTTTGGCACCAAGTTAACAAAGATGAAAACCCCCAGTTTGTGTTTGAAGCACTAAAAATGAATCAAAAAAGAAGAAAAGTGGAGGCCATTCTTTGTCATTATTGTGAAGCATGTGGTAAAAGAAAAAGAAGGCCAATCGGATTTGCTTGAATGGAACAAATAAAAGATAACCTGTTGAAATAAAAAGACAATACTAACATCAAAAGAGAGGAAAAAGAGTCCACCACAAGCCAATCTACTTCTACAGTAAACATTGAAGTGATGAAGGCTGCAACCACCACCACCTGACAATAAAGACCATCTGTCCAGTGGTAACACAAAGGAGTTCAATAAACTTACTTCAAACTTCAACAGGTATTCTTGTGCCAAAATTGGGATGATGGAGGAAATGATTTTTCCACCAAAAGCAATTGTTCTACAAGTTTTCTCTGGACCCATCAAGAAAGAAATGCCTAAAGTCCCCATTTGAAAAATTAAAGAGATCTCTACATCACTATTTGATGAGCTCATGTGAAAAAGTTGTGCTTATTTTATTATTTACCTCAAAAAGCTTGTAATTCAAAAAGACATAACTTGTCAAAGCTTCTACCTTCTGGAGCTTTGTCCTCATCCAAGGACCTCGCCTCTGTATCGTTTGCATAGCTACCACAACATACCTTAATTCACTCCTACACCAAAAGTCCACTCATAATATAAATACCTATCCATGGTCTTGATGGACTATTGTGCAGTGTTCAAAACGCACAACCAACCAACTAAAAGCCAAATACTTCAACCCGACATATCATCTCAATGAATAGTAGTTAACCAACACAAATTTCAATCATTATATGAATATCTATACATGGATTTAGGAGACTATTTTACACCTCCTAACACCAGCTTCAGATCATCACCAATATGGCAGCCAGCTAAGCAAATCAACAAGGCTCACTCTCCCTTCAAGTCACCCATATTTAGTTGAGGAGACATTTCGCCTTATCCGATGGTCCATGTCGATTCACTTTCGGCCAAGGTCAATTTGAAGCCTCGGAGGCTAAGTGTCGCCATTAAATATTGCATTAAATGTCAGTCAACCTATGATTGATGGATTGATATCTAGGAGGAGACATAGTATGCTCCTACCTTCAGATGGAGCCACGTGTTTTCTCATCCTACGGTCAATACTCCACTTCCATTGCTATATAAACTTACATACTTAGCCATTTGAAAGTAATGTCATCATCTACTAAAAACATACACTCAGCTCTATTATTCTTAAACACCTTGCTCTTTATATCACTGTCAACTGACTTGATTGTCGAATTGCTTACGACTGAATCTTCATTATCAAAGAAAGCCACAAGTAACTAATGGTGTGGTCTATCGTGCAAAGAGTTATCTATGAGGAGCTGTTATTTATTAGCCGCATCATCCCGATAAAAAATGAGGTCAATAGATTTTTTAAGAAAGGAGCAGTGTTCTGAGTTTTATAAAAGAGAAGATAGCAACAACAAAAAAAAAAAAAAATTGAATAACTCGATCCTTGTGATACTCCATCCTAACAAAACTTCAAAAATAGATATTATTAAAATTTATTTATGAAATAACTAAATAAAAATATATTTTATTCATTAAATATATTAATATCACAATTCTATACAATTTGATCACAAATTATCAAATTAATTGGTAACAAATTATTTCTTGACTACAAATATAATATTTTATAGGTCACAATTTATTATCAATCACAAATTATCAAATTAATTAATTATAATTTATTTTTCGATCACAAATTAATAAATTGTGAGTTAGAATCACATTTTTTAGATTATATTTTTTGGTTAGTCACAAACACCCCCACCCAATGTCTTTGATGTTAGATCTAATAAGTACCATCGCTACCGTGTGTTGCTAGAGATGACACTATCACTCTTAGAGCTTCGAACACTGGTATGATGTCGTCCTCTCAAATCATGCTATGGTGAGATCTCAGATTGTTACGCTCTCAAATTGCTGCGAATAATGGTGGTGTCGCATCAGCTGTGGGCAAGTGGTATGATGGCGTCTTGAATGGCACTGGTATGGTATAAGGGAAGAGAGAAGCGAGGGATTGGCAATATAGAGAGAAAGAAGTGATTGAAAAATAATTAGAATTTGGGAGGTTAGATGGTATAGGGGTGGATATGTATAATAATTTTTATAATATTATTAGTAAAATTTAGAATTTTAATTGTAATTGATTTTTTAAAGAAAAACTTGTAACTCTTATGAATTAAAATTTTGAAAACATTTATTTCATGTACTTTCAACTAAGGTCCCATTTGATTGCAAAGATGGAATTAAATTGAATTGAAAACGAATTCCAAGAAATTGAATTGCCTAGAAATTGATTTCTTGGGAATTGTAAATTATTGTGTTTGATTGGTATAATTTTTCACATGAAAAATGTTGAAATAAAAGTATTTTTTAATGTTTGTTTGGCTTTGTTTTACGTGAAAATTGTCAATTAAAGGGATATAATTTACTGATTTTGGGTATGAAATTTGTTTTCATTGCTAAAAAAAAATCAAGAAAATCATTTATCTTTTGGTGTTTGGCTTTGCTTTACATGGAAATTGTCAGTTAAATGGAAATATTTTTTAACAATAATTCTTAAAATTTATTTTCATTGCCAAAAAAAATAAATTAAAAAAATGCTACAGTAACCGGGAATTGGTGAGAATTGGAATTCAAGGTTTTCATGGAAAATGCTGATGTGGTTAAGAAAAGTAGAATTCATTTTTCATGGAAAATTTCACCTATCAAATACTACAAAAATTAAAAAATAGTGTTGATTTTTCATTTTTCATGAAAAATTGTGTGTTATCAAACACATCCTAAATAAAATTCAAAATAATTTTGTCTGCCATTTTCATAACCCTAAGCTTAACCCTAACCCAGAAACCCAAGCCCAATAACCAATCCTCACGCTCCTCAAACAGTTACACAACACACAGTCACACACTACTCTGATTCCAATTCCAATCTTCAGTCCGTCTACTGGGTCTCCACCGTGCTTGTGTCCTCCATCGGTGGTTCAACTCTCACCCTTTCACCACGTTCCCCACAGAATCTCTTGCTCCCATAGTCTCCTCTCCAGTTTAAAAGGTAAAAAAATGTTAAATGTGTGAGTTCTAAGTTCCTTTTTTTTTAAACAGTGACTGGAGCTATTTCTTCCTTCTTCTTTTTTGTTCCTGCTTCTTTTTTTGGGGTTTTTTTTTTTTTTTTTTTTTTTTTGCAATGAAGTCCGAAGGGTATTTTTATTTCTAGGGTTTGTGTATGTAGAGGATTAGAATTGAAATTTTTGACGTTAAAATGAGTTTAGTTTCAGTTTTGGGGATTGGTGGAGCTATTGCTGTAAAAAGAATTAAAAAAGGTTAACTGGAACAGTGGGCGGGGTATGGGTGATCCCCGTGGGCCCGTCTCTCTTAAGCGGGCTGGGACAGGAAATTTCCACCAGGGACAGGGACGGGGAGTGCTGCCCTGCCGGCGCCCATCCCATGGCCATCCATAAGGGCCTAAATTAAGAGGGCAAGAGCAATTTGGAAACATCAAAACATTTCAATTGGTGTAGATTTGAGATCAGATTCTATCTCGAGTGATAAAATCAAAGCCTTACTAGTCCATGACAAGCGTATGATCGTCAAGGGAGGAATGGTGATCTTTAATTCTTGATGTGAGACAGTAAAGCCCAGTGAAATGGAGTCTTAGTATTTGTATGCGTATTTGCAGTGTTCCTTGTAATTATTGATGCTCTTATCAGAGGAATGTTATAGTGGCATGTAAGAGTTATTATCCCATTAGTTACTGCAAGTGGCCACACAGATTAGATTGTTTTGGGTGCATCTTTTGTTTACTTTAGTGGTGCTTTAAGGCATTTTGGTAGTTCTTAACCTATTTTCGACACTTTATAAGTAATATTCTAATGTGCAACCGAGTTCGTTTAGCAAATCTTAAGCACTGGAGAAGAAGCTATAGGTTGGCTTTTGTTCAACGACTTAAAGTTTGAGTCGAGATTGAACAGAAAAATAAGCCAGTCTTCTTCTATTGTTTGCTATTTTGAGGAAACTGCCTAGATAATTCTTTTAGCTATATTTCGTCAGTTAATTTAGTGATTATGCTAATAATTGCCTTCCTTTCTGGACGATTTTGCTGTTATTTTACTATTTAAAGGCCATCAGTCCTTGTAACCAAGTTTGAATTTCAGAAAACCAAACTCATTTTAGCTGTTGTTTGCCTTGTGACCCAGTACGTAGGCAGAATACCTAAGAAGCACTTACACAGACATCGACACGCGATTTTTTAAAAAGTTTCGACACGATACGTTGTCAATACGTTGATTATCAAATTATTTTTTTAGTTTATTTTAATTTTATAGTCTAAAGTAATAATTTTTTATACTTATTGAATCATATATATAATGATAAATAGAAATCAAACTTGACATTAAATTCATAAATGCTTCTTAATAACATAAGTTCAAAAAGTATAAACGAAATTAATTACATAATTCGTCTTGAATCTCTTCAACATCTTCATCTTCATCCGCAAATACTATCGCCTCTAATTCCGGTTCGTCTAGAGATAAATTAGCAACTTCAAACACACCAACGTCTTCAAATGTATCAAATGCATCTCCACTGATATCCTACATTCAGTCTCTCGTTGTGAGTATTGCGCACTCCTTGTTAAGAGTCGAAGATAGCTATGGACGAAAATCAAATCTTCCCCACGTTTTAAAGTTGGCTTATTTTGTCTAAGAGAGTGCAAAAAGGAATAAGTATTCGAATTTCACTCACAACACGATGAAGAAGATGGTTGCCCCAAAAGTTTCAAGGCGTAACTTTGAAGCATGGGTGTGCAAGCACCATGTATAACCCACCAAGTCTTTGGGTCCAAGCGGTAACAATCATGGATGGATTCAAAATCACCAAAGGCATCTTCCATAGTCGAGAATTTGGCATACTCCTTATTCACCATATTACGCTCTTCATTTGACAAGGACCTCTTAAAGTATTTTATTCTTTCTCTTGAAATCTTGACATCTCTATGTAGAGCAAGTTGAGTGGGATCCTCATTAAGCCATTCCTCGCTATAGTACCTAAACAAGAGAAAAAAATTAAAGAAATGACAATTCATTCAATAACTAACGAAAAATATTAAATATTATGAAAATGTAAATAAATAATAAATATATGAATTAGATTTAAAAATTACCATGGATTTAGAAAATGAGACAAGCAATGAAGTGGAGTGTTATTTTTGTTCCAATGATCTATAAGTATCCGATGAACAACTTTGTAAAATGATGATTCCTCTTCTTGAACTTTTTTCTCATACCTATAAATTATTCCTTTCACTTTCTCATTCATTGTATCTCATATGTTATAAACAAAGTGAAGGCAAGATTTATCCGTATCACAAAATCTAAGCATGTGATAAATGGGAAAAGCAAAGTAAAGAACATAACTTAGTCCCACCAAAGATCATCAAGCACTTTCAATTTTACAAAACTTGCCTTCATCATGTCATCTTCTTGATAAAGTGACCATGTTTCACTAATAACCAAAGCTTGAATACCACGTTGGATAAGCTTAAATCTTTTTAACATGACAATAATAGAAGCAAATCGTGTCTCCACTACGGAAAGCAACTTCAAAGGCACAAATTCATTAAGCATTGCTAGTCTCATGGAATTGTTCACCATAAATTTTTTTTATAATCATTGCATCATTATGAAGATTAGTATTTCAATTGCATTCCTCATAGGTGATCAAATTATTTTCAACATTTTTCGCAGCACAAATGTTCTTCAAAGAAAGATTTAGTGTGTGTACAACACATGGTGTTCAAAAATATGAGGATACTCCAATTCAATTATTTGCTCGACACCTTTGCAATTTGGAGCATTATCGGTTATTACTTGAATCACCTTTTCATGATTAATTTCATTTATAACCTCCATCAAGTTAGCAATAAAATATTTACCTTTCGTTTCATCGGAACAATCAACCGCTTTTAAAAACATTGGTCCACTCTCAGTCACCACCATAAAATTAATTAGTGGCCTTTTTGTGGATTACTCCATCCATCGCTTACTATAGTAACTCCTTTTTCCGCCAATGTGTCAAATTGGTTTTAATAACCTTTCCACATTTTTTCTCTTTTTGAAGAAGAGTAGTTCTTAACTTGTTATAACCGGGAGGCAAATACCCTGAAATTCGACTATTGGAAGCAAGAGTATAAGAACTAATGTAATAAGGATTTCTTGCAAGAGTAAAAGGCAAACCACTTGAATAAAGCATTCGAGAAATTTCGGAATCCAATTGGTCACGTGTTGTCACATTAAAGGCATTTTCTTTTGCACCATTCTTTCTTTTCTTTTCCTCCAAAACATTACAAGCCTTCGAATCCATATTACCCTTCAGCAATGGCACTTTTTTTCCTGCCTTAGTTTGCATTCTCAATTTGGCTTCATCTTCCATTTTTGGCATTTCACATATATCTTTTATAGTTACTTTTCCACAAGCACCAATTTCATAGTCTTGTAATTTTAACAAATGTGCCCTCACTCTTGTGTATGAACTTGTCTTAGTTGCTGTTGTGCATGTGGCTCATATCGAGTGGAACACAGGCCCTGGATCAAATGGGTCGATGCCGGCGCGGAGCGGAGCGACGGCATCGGCTTTGCGCGGGTTTAATTCACTCTCTGGTTGTTAGGGACGCTGAATAGGTTGGGGGTGTGGGGGCAACGCGGGGGCGGTACGGTACAGGGGTATTTTCTGTACGGGCTTAAAAGCCTTTTATGGGCCCAGATTAGGGTTAGTATAAATATGTTGTAACCCTATTTGTATCAACTGAATAAAGAAATCTCCGCTTCGCTCTCTTGGACGTGGGCACACCGTCGAACCACGTAAAACTCTTGTGTTGATTTTCCTTTTCATCTTTTTAATATTGCGCATAAAATCCAACAACTGGTATCAGAGCTAGGTTCAGATGGCGAGTTCTTCGATTGCAAAATTTGATGTGATGAAGTTTGACGGATCTGGGAACTTCGGATTATGGCAACGAAGGGTGAAGGATTTGTTGGTGCAGCAAGGGATGATGAAGGCACTATCTGGGAAAAAACTAGAGGGTACGTCAGATGTCGATTGGGAAGAGCTCGAGGCGCGAGCAGTTGGTACAATTCGGCTTTGTTTGGCGGACGAAATCATGTATCACGTCATGGACGTTGAGTCTCCAGCGGAGGTTTGGGAGAAATTGGAGAGTCGTTATATGTCGAAATCTCTCACAAACAAGTTGCATCTAAAGCAGTGGCTGTACGGGCTGAAGATGTTGGAGGGTGCGGATCTGATTCAACACACCAATGTGTTCAATCAAATCATCAGCGATCTATTGTGACTTGAAATCAAGTTTGATGATGAAGACAAGGCAATGATTTTGTTGTGCTCACTGCCTCCTTCGTACGACCATCTGGTGACCACGTTGACGTGGGGTAAAGAGACTCTCGAATTGGAGGAAGTCACATCAGCCCTGTTAGCCTACAACCAGCGGAAACTGCGTATTGTGGGAGAAGAAAGGACAGGGGTGTTTCTTTTAGAGGGAACACAAGATCAAAATCTAGAAATCAAAATAAGAAAAACGTGAAGTGCTACAGATGCCATCAGATGGGCCACTTTAAGAGAGACTGTCCGAAGAAGAAGCAGAGTGATGAAAGGAAAGGTGATGGGTCCTCAAACTCAGCTAGTGTTGCAGAAGGAGACTCGGATTCTGGAGATGGATACATGTTATCAGTTTCTGCAGGTAATTCTGTAAAATTAAATGACTGTTGGGTACTTGATTCAGCCTGTTCATATCACATGTGTCCTCATCGGGATTGGTTTCATTCATATCGTTCTGGTAATTTTGGATCTGTTCTGATGGGTAATGATGCATCATGTAAGGTCATTGGAATGGGGTCCATAAAATATAAAATGTTCGATGGTGTGATAAGGACCTTGAAAAATGTTAGGCATGTACCTGAGTTGAAAAAGAATCTAATTTCTTTAGGCACTTTAGACACAAATGGTTACTCTTATAAGTCAGAGTGTGGGGCTCTAACAGTGGAGAAAGGGGCTATGATTGTGATGAAGGATCAAAAATTAGTAGGGAATATCTACAAACTACTTGGGGATACAGTTGTAGGTGGAGTTGCTGCAGCAGAATCAGAGTCAGATGACACTCTTCTATGGCTTATGCGACTGGGGCATATAGGAGAACATGGAATGGTTGAGCTTCACAAGAGGAATTTGTTGAAGGGGGTAAAATCATGCAAGCTGAATTTCTGCAAGTTCTGTGTACTTGGAAAGCATTCCAGAGTACAGTTCAAGATAGGAAAGCACAAGACAGGGAATTCTTGATTATGTGCACTCAGATGTTTGGGGACCAGTGAGGGAGTTGTCCAAAGGTGGATCTCATTACTTTATTACTTTCATTGATGACTTTTCTAGAAAAGTTTGGGTATATTTCATGAAGCACAAGTCTAAAGCTTTTGCCAAGTTCAAATTATGAAAAGTAGAAGTAGAGAACCAGATGGGCAGAAAAATTAAGTACCTGAGGACAGATAACGGTATAGAGTATACAGATTCACAGTTTCTGAGATTTTGTGAGGAGCATGGTATTCAGGGCACTATACAGTTCGCAAGACACCGCAACAGAATGGTGTTGCGGAAAGGATGAACAGAACAATTGCGGAAAGGATGATTGAGGCTGAATGCAGGGCTCTCGAAGAGTTTTGGGTAGAGGCAGTGAACATGGCATGTTATGTCATAAACAGATCACCACGAGCAGCACTAGATGGGAAAGTTGCAGAAGAAGTTTGGATAGGTAATGAAGTTGATTATTTTGAATTGAGAGTATTTGGTTGTCCCGCGTATGTGCATGTATCTAGTGATCAGCGATCCAAACTTGATCCGAAATCAAGAAAATGCATTTTTCTGGGTTATGTTAAAGGTGGAAAGGGATACAAGTTTTGGGATCTAGAGGCAAGGAAGATGGTGATAAGTAGGGATGTAGTATTTGATGAAGCATTCATGCTTAAAGCTTCTACAGATAAAGAGAAGCTAGATTCAGACGAGGGCAGAGGTAAGAGACAAGTGGTGCAAGTAGAGCTAGACAATGTAAACACAGAAATTAATTCTCAGGGAGCAGATAGTTTTGGGTCAGAGGTGGAGTAGTATCATAGTGTTGCCTTAGATAGACCACATCGCACGACCAAGCCACCAGCAAAGTATGGATTCGAGGATTCGGTTTCTTATGCACTCATTACCAGCAATAGCGATCCTATAACTTTTCAGGATGCCATTGGTAGTTAGGAGAAAGGTAAATGGATAGAGGCTACGACGGAGGAAATTGAGTCACTGCATAAAAATGATACTTAGGATTTGGTGGAGCTTCCAGAGGGGAAGAAACAGATAGGGTGTAAGTGGGTGTATAGAAAGAAAGAAGCAATGTCAGAAAAGGAAGGAGAAAAATACAAGGCTCGATTAGTTGCAAAGGGATACTCACAAAGGAAGGGAGTAGATTATGATGAAATTTTCTCTCCGGTCATCAGACACACTTCCATCAGGATTGTTTTGACAATGGTGGCTAATTTTGATTTGGAGTTAGAGCAGCTAGATGTGAAGACTGCTTTCCTTCATGGTGATTTGGAGGAACAAATTTTCATGGAGCAGCCAGAAGGGTTTTTGGAACCAGGAACAGAGAATTTTGTGTGTAAACTGAAGAAGTCTTTATACGGGTTTAAGCAGTCTCCACGGCAATGGTACAAGAAGTTCGACTCTCATATGATTCAGATTGGCTACAATCGTTGTGAGTATGATTGTTGCGTTTACTACAAAGTTCTTGAGGATAACTCATATATTTTCTTGATGTTGTATGTGGACGACATGTTAATTGCTGCTAAGAACATGGATGAGATAGACAAATTGAAATTTTTGTTGAGCAGTAAGTTTGATATGAAAGACTTGGGACCGGCTAAGAAAATTCTTGGCATGGAGATCAACAGAGATAGGAAAACCAGAAAATTATGGGTGTCTTAGAAAAATTATTTGAAGAAAGTGTTAGAGAGGTTTAGCATGTTAGATGCAAAATCAGTTGTCACACCACTTGCAAATCACTTCAGATTGTCTAATAATCAGTGCCTAAAGAGTGAAGAAGATGTTGCAGAGATGTCAAAGGTACCTTATGCCAGCGCAGTTGGATGTTTGATGTATGCAATGGTGTGTACAAGACCAGATTTAGCACATGCAGTCAGTGTGGTCAGTAAGTATATGGCTAATCCTGGTAGAGAGCATTGGAGAGCTGTAAAGTGGATTTTCAAGTACTTGAAAGGTACAATGGAGTGCGGGATCATGTTTGAGAGACAACACGGTGATATTTCAGTTCAAGGATATGTAGATGCAGATTATGCAGGGGACTTGGATGATAGAAGGTCCCATACAGGTTATGTTTTCACGCTCACAGGTGGGCCCATATGTTGGAGGTCAATGGTGCAATTACTTGTGACATTATCTACAACTGAAGTAGAGTACATGGCGGCAACTGAGGCAAGGGCTTGTCAGGAAACTTGGGATCAAACAAGATGGAATGAAGTTGTACTGTGATAGTAAGAGCGCTATCTTCCTAGCTAAGAATCAGATTTATCATGCAAGAACCAAGCACATTGACGTGAGATTTTATAAAATAAGAGGGTTATTTCAGGAGAGCTGTTTTTAGAGAAAGTGTATACCTCAGAGAATGCAGCAGACATGATGACAAAGCCAATCACAATAGATAAGTTCAAGTAATACTTGAACTTGATTAACATATCTAGCTGTTAGAGAGGATGTGTCCCAGCCCATTGGTCCTAGATGGTGTGACTTTTTCCCGGTTATGTTTTTTTTCTCCTTAGGGGTGAATATTCGCCAAGGTGGAGATTGTTGTGCATGTGGCTCATATAGAGTGGAACACAGGCCCTAGATCAAATGGGCCGATGCCGGCGCGGAGCGGAGTAGAGCCTCCTGAGAAAAGAAGCTGGTTGAATAAGTGAGAAGCTATGCTCTAGCCTAAATAAAAAAAAAAATTAACATGGTAGAAGTCTGCAGGGTATATTTAACATAACTTTTAATTTTTGTTCTGGAACTTCTGCAATTTGAACTATAGATGGAAGGCTGGTGATAAATTTCTGATTAACTGTATATTAGTAATGACTAATGAGAGATTGGCCTGGTTATCAGTTCTGGTAACTTTATAGAGGAGACTTAGAAGCATGCCTGCGTGCATAGATATCTTAAGAGTGAAGTGATGTTGCTTTTTTTACTACTTGGGCTCTATAAATTGCAACTATTTAGACTCCCAAGTTTCCACCGTTGATGGTGCATCCAGAGTTAATGCAACAGGCCTTGGCTGTTTACCTCATTATGGCACTGGAAACTAATTACCAGCATAATTCAGATCAAAACTCATCATCCTTTATAATTCAACACACGTCTCATTTGCATTCCCGTTGCAAACTACTTTTAGGAGAGCAATTTTATTCATGTCATGTGTTTTAGAGAATGCTTCCAACCACATCCTTCCTGCACCGTGCTAGACTACTGAGCTATTTTTTGCATTTCAAGGGCATTGAAAAATGAAGATTAAACTTGAAAAACAATCCAACTCTGTATTAGAAGTAAATGTTATCCTGTGAAGATACCTATTAGAGCAGATGTGAAAGCTTTTCAATGTATAAAATTCTGAAGGAAATAAAAAATAAAAGTTAAGCGTCCTGTGCTCCATTGTTCTCGTTATCTCTTGCATGTGGCAATTTATATAGTTGGAAGTATTCTAAAACTCGTGCTTGAAATTGTATCAATGACTCGCGAAGCTCTAGAAAGGAACTAGCATTTGCTGTCTGTCTCATAGCCTCGTAGAAATGACGAACAAACGCTTAGTGATTTTAGATCAGGAAGGATGTAGACAATTTTGGTATCCTTACTAGATTTACGTTTGTAAACCCATGAAATATATGTTTACATTTGAAAAGATGTAGACAATTATGGTATCCTTACTGGATTTAGGTTTGTAATCCCATGAAATAAATGTTTACATTTGAAAAGATGTCTAAGATGTGTACTTTACGTGCAGTTGTTTGATCTTAGTTCACAATCTTGTCAGGCATCATGATGCTCTGAAATTGGAGAAGCCAATTTATTGATTTGAAAGATTAATGGCAATATGACCAATAACTCAACGGTCATTTAGCAGGAAAAAGATACTTCAATCCAACAAGATATGAGGGCGTTTTTGGAGGCACTTTCGTTGTTACCATTTTTTTGGAGTCTCCCTAAAAGGATACTATTGAAGAATGTATTGTTTAAGCATTTGCATGTCTATAAAACAATGCAGCATATTCTGAACCCAGTCCTGGATGTATCCAGGTTAATTTTTTCTTAGGAAATTGGTTTACCCGATTTGAATAGTAGTCTGGAAGTGTTTTAAACTGTTAAGCTCCGCATAAATGACTTCATTACAAAAATTTTGTTATTTAGCTTTCTCTGAATGTTTTAGCTGATTTTTGTAGGCTGCTTGCAAAGAATGCAATTCAACACTCAAAACAGGTTTTTGTGTATTTTTTTTTCAATATCACTTATGATGTTATGACTAGAGTTCTCTGATGACATAATTATATGCAATGATGTAATTTGACTTGTTAAATTTCCTTCTGTTTAATGTATGGCAGAGATGGTTATTCCTCTACCAGTGAAGCCTGAAAGATTGACGAAATTTCTCAAACCTTATGTCCTAAAAATGAACTTCACAAATAAGTATGTGAGTGCTCAAGTAATCCACACACCAACTGCGACAGTAGCTTCTTCTGCAAGCACGCAAGAGAAGACTGTGAGATTGAGCATGGAAAAGGCAAAAGAAAATACTCGTGATGTTGCAGCTGCTGCAAAAATTGGCAAGTTACTTGGGGAGCGACTAATGTTTCAGAACATATCTGCTGTTTCAGTTTCATTGAAGAGAGAACAAAAATATCATGGCAAGGTGAAGGCAGTGATTGATTCTTTGAAGGAGGCAGGGGTCAAATTTTTATGAATTATGTCGTTTCTTCGGCTGAGTTTGCATTTTTGCTGCTTCTGGAATGCCGACGTTTTAGCTTTGCAGTTTTTCTTTTTGGTATTTTTTAAGTAACAATGCCCATGCCCATTGTAATGTTTATCTAGGGAAATAAGCTGTACTTAGATTAATGAAATTACAAGGATTTTTATCCACTTAAAGTTTTCTTGGAAACAGTTCATATCTGTAGTTTAGTTTCTGTCCTTAGGAAGCAACTTTATCCAAGAGTTGCATTTCAAGGCATAGAATGAATATTTGGCACGTTGAACTTGATGAAGATGTACATGATAACTTACAAATTTTTTGATGCATATGGTGCGTACTGATATGCATCGTTCACTTGATGCACTCATCTGCACGTGGGCATATGTTGTGTGCATATGTAAAGATTTTTATGTAAAAATTGACTTGTCTATTTTGAGGTGTATTCTTTCAAAAAGATACATTTTTAAACAGTGATTTGATATTATTTTGATTATACATTTGTCAATAAAATAACATTACACGTAAATTAAAATTTTTTTCTCATTTTTAGTCACATATTCTCCATCAATTTGTTATTTCAAACTACATTTTTTTCAAAATAATATGGTTCAAGAGAAAAATTTTAAGTGCTCAAATAGGCTTTTTATATTTAATATTTAATTTTATTACTGTTAAAAAAAATTTATTATTTTTCTCTATCTTTTATTTCGCTACTCTCCAAATTATTATCTTATTTCCGCAATTGAAAATTGAAATATTTTAAATATATTTAATTATAGTGTATTTGATTTTCTAAATTTGAAAAATCAAACTTATTATCTATTTTAAATTATTAATTTAAAGCATTTTTTGAAGCATAATTTGAGGGTTAAATCTTTAAAATAAATAAACAGAGTTTATTGGAGATGTTCTTATTGAAATTGGGTAAAATAGCCCATCTACAATGTTTGTTTGGAAAAATAGCCTTTGACCAAAATATTAAAATTAAAATAAATATTTTAATATTAAAAATATAAACTGTCTAAAATACCCTTAAAGCAAAACAAAACATCAAAATTCAAAGTACTTGTCCATTTCCAAATTAAAATCTCGTCTTGTTCCTATCACATTCAAATTTATCATCTCCTTCATCCTTCTTTTTAGGTATGTTTGCAATATAATAGTGCGTATATAAAATACTAATTCTCTATTTGTGGATGATAATAGGCCCAATTTTCTATTCTTTTACTTCTAAATGTATATTAATATGTGCTTTGTATTTCATTTTATTTTTTCTTTTTGGTTTCCTGCTGTTTTCATAATTTTTGGTTGCAGTAATTACAAATTATTCTAATTTGGATTTATTTTGGGTGTATGAAGTTATTTGGTGTTTGAGGCTTCACATTCGTTTTCTATTTTTTGTTTGGTTTAATTTTTTGATTTCAATTTTAACTCTAATTGGTTTGAAGTTAATTGAAAAGATGGGATTTATTTTTTATTTTTATTTTTTTTAACCATTTAGTGCAATCTAGAACTTTGTTTTGTTCGGCCATTTATTGGCATGAAATTGACTATAATTTCTTATTTTTCCCACAGGGATCAAATGAATTTCATTTTGTTGAAGCATAGGAATTTTTTTTTTTTTTTTTTTTTTTGGGGAGTTGGTTTTTATACCAGAGCTTATAGCTTAGTGTGAAGATTATATTTACTTTGTTTAAACTGCAGTCACTTGTTAATTGCTTCTTAATTTTTCATGGTCCATGATAGGGTGTTACAAAAGAAAGGAACTTGGAATGAGTGAAAATGATTCAAAGAATAACTTAGGAATTATAAGTAGATGTTATTCATTGCAAAGAACAATTCAGACTACCTTTGGTCTTCTCTAGTCCCCAAAACCACATGGTAGTAGTTTTTGAAGCTATATGACATTCTAGATTCTTCAATTTTTGTTGGAGATTCACAATATAATCAATTATGTTTGCCTTTCATCTAGAAATACTACTTTGGAAAGAGTTTGTTCAACAATTTTGATGGGTAGAAAATTGACTGGTTCAGTTATTTTGTGGAGGCTAGATGTAGCTTAAGATTCATCCATGATAAGTTTTCAACTATCAATTTCACATATTGTACAAATTAATATTTGGTTCGTGTTGTATTGTTATCAGGAAGTTTGTTTAATAAATTAAGTTTTAGAGGTATAGTTTTCTTTTCTTGATGTAATTTTGTTTTTGAGAACATGAAGATTGAGACGAGATGTCAATAAATTAAAATGTGCATAGTGGGGACTTGGGAATGACTGTTTCTACCTCAAGGTTTAAAATGAATTTTAAGAAAAGCCTAGCGGATATTCCCTACCTATTTTATGTGTTGTATCTTTGTTTTCAACATTTTGAAATGAAATTTTTTAGTCATTAAACCATGATTCTAAAGGATGGTTTTGATTCAAATGATCGTTAAAATTGCTTGAATCATACAAGCTATGGGGAAATAAATGAAAGTATAAAAATGTTGAAAAATTGATGTCTTTTTCTTGTATGAAAATGGTGAGCAAAGTTTGGCTAATGTGTTCTAGAATAAAAATAGTCAATTTTGACCATTGAGGCTTTACATTGAGAGAATTTAGTGAAACAAGTTGAATTTTAAATATTTTACATTTAGAACCTTGCTCAACAAAAAGTTGTTACTTAGAGGTTGATACATTGACAAGCAATTTAGTATATTTATACTAGTAACGAAGTTGATTCAAACTTTATTAAATTCATCAATATAAGATAGTGAAACTAGTTAAAACAGCACATAGCTGTTTAAAAAGACTTTATGCCACATTGGGTTCTAGAGTATCTGTTTCACTCAAAAACTAGTCGATTATATTTTGGAACATCTTACAAGACTTGTACAAGTTAAACGAGCTAATTTGTTGACTATCTTATCTCACAATTGGAATATAACAAAATTTGAGTTACTTACCTTCGTTCATAGTAAATCATAGTGTAGTTTACTCACAAAACAATAGTGTTGTTCATGTGAACTTTGTATTGATTGTGGTGTCCAAATATAGTGAAAATTGGGATTCGTTAATTTTTATGTAGATATGAGTGAACATAAAGTGAAATAAACATAAAATTAGTTGAAAACGATGCGTAGCCTTTTGAAAAGACAACATGGCAATTTGGGTCACAAATCTCAATTTCACTCCAAAACTAGTCAATTTGGTTCTTGATATCCAAATCTAGTTAAAACTTTCATTCTTACAGTTTCACATGGATACGAGCGAGAATGAAGCAAAATGAACATGAAATTAGTAAAAATGATACACCTACGTTTAAAATGACTACATGCTATTTTGGGTCACATGTTCTCGATTTCACTTCGAAATTAGTAAAAACAATGTTTGGAACATTCTAGATACGTTGTACATGTTGAATGATTGTACGTGCTATTTATTTATACCCTAAAACCTAACCCTGAAAGAACACCTATACATTTAAAATGACAAGATGTCATTTAAGGTCCGAACAAATAGAACTATCAAAATTTTAGGTGACAAGTCGATTTTAGTTCGAAACATGCTATATTTTGTATACCTTAAACTACAATCATACTTGTAAAATGATCACATGTCGTTTTAGGTAGTAGGGTCCAAATTTCACTTATACATGTTGAATGATTACGCGTTCGATATTTTTTATACCCTATACCCTAAATGGCATCCCTACGAGTAAAACAAAAATATGTCGTTTTGAGTCAAATAGTCTCAATTTCACTCAAAAACTAGTAAAACAATGTTTGGAATATCATCCAATACTATAAATGTTGAAAAATTAAATGACAATCACACATTAAAACCATATACCCTAAACCCTAAGCCGAAAACCCTAAACCCTATACCCTAAACGATAACCATACGTTTAAAATGATCAGATGTCATTTTGGATCACGAGACATCGATTTTACTTTGAAACTAGTAAAATAGTGTTTGAGACATCATACATGTCTTGTACGCATTGAATGACTACACATGCTATGTTTTGCATACCATATTTACAACTTACTTTTTTTTTATTGTCAAGTGTAGTGCAGTATAGTTTCTAACTGATTATAGAGTGACTTGCTATAGTTTAAACCAATGTGTCGATAAAATGTAGTTAAAACTTTCATCCCTAAACTTTCAAGTGGTTACGGACGTGAATAAACCAAAATGAACACGAAATGAGTATAAACGTCTCTCATACGTTTAAAATGACCATATGCCTTTTTGAGTCACGAGGTATTGATTTCACTCCGAAACTAGTAAAACAATGTTTGAAGTATCATACATGACTTGTACCACACTTGTTACTTACGTTTTTCTTTATTGTCAAGTGTCATATAGTGTAGTTTCCAACCTGATTATAGATTGACTTGCTATAGTTTGGATCAATGTGTCGACGGTAACGTTGAAATGTAGTTGAAATTTTCATCATTAAACCTTGAAGTGGTTATGGACGTGAATAATACAAAAGAAAGACTTTTACAAGTTAAACGAACTAATTTATTAAGTATTTTAACTCATAATAAAATATAATGAAATTGGAGTTCCTTATCTTCGTTCACAGTAAAGTCTAGTGCAATTTTCTTATGAAACAATATTGTTGGTCACTATCGCGTGAACTTTATATCGATACTCAGGTCCAAATGTAATGAAAACTTCCATTCCCTCATTATCATGTGTGTACGAGTGAAAGTAAAGTGAAGCAGATATCAAATTTGTTGAAACGACACCCAATCATTTAAAATGATAGCGTTTTAGATTATGGGTTCTCGATATTCAAATGTAGAAAAAACTTGCATTTATTGATTTTATATGGATACGAGTGAACATAAAGTGAAATGAATACAAAAATAATTGAAACGACACCTAACCTTTTCGTTGATATCATGCCGTTTTGGGTCTTGGCCTTGATTTCACTCTAAAACGAGTCGATAAGACTTGGAACATTTTAGACGACTTACATAAGTTAAACAAGCCAACTTGTTGAATATCTTATCTCATAATTAGAATATAATGGAATTTACTTACTTTCGTTCATAGTTAAATCTAATGCAGTTTACTCATGCAACAATAGTGTTGGTCATTATCGCGTGAATTTTATGCCGATACTCGCGACAAATATAATGAAAACTTCTATTAGTTCATTTTCATGTGCATACAAGTGAAAATAAAGTGAAGCTGATACGAAATTAGTAGAAATGACACTCAATCATTTAAAACGGTATTATGACATTTTGGATTATAGAGTCTTGATTTCACTCCAAAATGAATTGATCAT